ATCAAAATTTGATTTTACTTATGGTTTTGGGGGCAACTAATAATTGATGAAAGTAGAATTTCCAGAGGGATGCAAAAGAACGTAATTATCCATTTAGAATGAGAAAGTCGGTGGCAGTGATTGAATCAGATTCTGGTTTAAATAGTCACACGACACCCTCTTACTCTTTGGTTCCAGTTCAGGAAAGTGCTCAAACCTTTTAATAATTACACACTTTGCTTCACAGATAAGATTCCCAGTCCACATGACACGCCTTGGTGCCAGCTGTATTTTCTTCTTGGCATTCTTTCTTTCCTCTCTTCACCCTGGCCCCTCAATCGTCTTCATGTCTGCCCAGCTCAAAGGCACAGGTTTCCATCTGCAAAGCCTGTTGCCACAGGATACAGAATTCACTAGGGAGGAGGGAAAACTGCATGTGTGTGTTTAAGGATGGTGGCTCTCATAATCAGATAAACGTTGTGGAAAGCTTGCTCATTCATATGGAAGAGCCAGTGCTGCAGCTAAATGGTACAGCCACTGGGCTCCAGGCTCTGGCATCTGTGCATTAGCCTTGCCCAGCCGGGAGCACTTTCACTTGTTATTCGGAAAAGCTGATGAGCATTGCCACATTTGCCTTCAACGATAACCTTTATATGAATCCCACGGAAGAAAAGGCTGTTTCCCACTTTTTTTTTTTTCAATGAAATGACGAAATTGATTACAAATAGGAAATCCCAGGTGACTTTTTCACACAGTAAAGTGCCTTTTCTGTAATCACACTAAGTCTCTGCTGTTTTGCTTTTTTCACTCTTGACTTCTTTGATATAACCTCTCTTCCCCTCTAAAAAAATCTCTAAGGTATCAAAGACTTTTGCCCCCAGTTTTCCATCCTGTGATTCTGCTCTGCTTCCTTCCTGGTGCCATTAATCTTGAATGGGCAATGGTACAGGCGAATGCCCTGAGCAGCCCTGAATATAGCCTGATGTGTAAGGAAAGGAAGCCTCCCAGTTCCTGCTATTTGACTGGCTATGATTTGGCTTTTTAGGCAAGTTCTGTCTTCGCCTGAAAACTCTACTTAGCACTGTGGACAAAAGTATCTTCAGCTTTGGGACACCACCTCTGAGAACTAGAAGTGGAGCTTGAGAGTGCACTCCTTCATTCTCTCCTTCTCCTTCTTGTGCCCTTCCTTACCTCGGGAGATACTCATGTACTTAGAATTGTTGTAAGTTTACTTATATTTTTACAAGTTGGAAACTCAGAATGTCCCTGGCCTTCATGAGCACAAGCATTGTTGAGGTTGTTTGGGTTGCATTTGTTTATGTTTTCCACACTCACACGGTTTGCCTAGCTTGGCAGCCTGTTGGCCTGGACAATAATAAAGCTTCTGTCGAGGTGAGCAAACAGCTGATGGCACGGGGCACAGAGGGGACTCCTACAGTGGCCGCCTGTAATCTGCCAGGCCGGTGGTCAGAGCAGGCGAGAACAAAAGCCAGTCTGTGTGCAGGCAGATTGGGAAATCAATGTGTTAGTTGTGTTCTCGTCTCTTTGCCTTTCTTCTAGCTGAAAGGGAGAATGCTCGTCCAGCAGTCCACAAAATCATTCGAGGCAAGTACCCATTTCAGAGACTTAACCTGCCTATCATATTAACCACCAGCAGTTCTGAAAAGGGCCCGAGTTTATCTGTCTGAACTGCTTGAAGCGTCATTGATAGAGGCATTCTTCTCAGACTCACCATCCAAAGTTGGATGGACCCTACTCTCTCAATGTTTTGAGTTGTTTGTGTTTTAGACAGCTAGATAACATTCACCAGTGAGGGCTTAGAAAGGAGTTTATATGCTGCCTGGCTGGGAAGTGCAGGAATTGCAGTTTGGACAGCATATTTCGTGTTAAATGTGTGTTTCCCTCTTATTTCTAAATTGATTTAATATGTTCACCTGGTTGAACATCTGATAGACTTGGTGTGTGTCTGGATTACTAGGCCTCAGAGAGAAGAAGAGATCATAGCAAATAGCCCTGTTCCAGGATGAGGAAGAGAATGGACTTATTAAAGACCACTGTGAGTCTGTTGACAAATCTCTCAGAGGCTGTTCCTATGCTGAGATGATTATATTGGATGTATGAAGTCTTGAGTAACTTTCCCTCTAGGCTTCTAAGAAATAGGTATGAGAAGACGAGACCTTTGAGAAGATAAAACTTTTCTGTTCTTCCATGTATGAAGAAGGTTAGTCTCAGAAGTTTAAGCAGTTTATACAAATTTTAAGAAGTTTATACAAATTTTAATTTGAGCTTTGAAGGTCTAAAGCTAGATCCTATATCTTTGTTTTCTTCAGAACCTAAAAACGGCCTGTTGATTGTGAATAAAAGAAAAGGGTATTTGGTTGGAATTGGTCGTGGTGCTCTTAAAGTCTATCAGAAAGAAAAGTCATAACTTTTGTAGTTATTGGAGCCATCCTAAGGCAGAAGATTAGATCTTAAAATGAAGTTTAAGTTTAAAATAATCTTGGGTAAAGAAGGCAATTGGCTTTTTAAATTATGTTTGTTTGTTTGTTTGTTTGTTTGTTTGTTTTTAAAGGAAAAGTGGACTGAACCTAACAGTCACTACCACCCCAAACACTTCTAAGCAACTAGCAATGCCCTTTGTCTCCTTAGCACTGTGTTCCACCTTGTACTATTGTTAAATTATGTTTGTGTACTTTGTTTTTGTGATGAGATTATAAATGCCGCCGATTACAGGGAATTGACCGTTCTTCATATATGCCATACATGTTAGCAAAGTAATTAGCACATAATAGCGTTTTATACGTTTGTTGATTGAACTCATTTTTTACTTGCTGGAAATGTCCTCTGGGCCACCAGTTGTGTCCGGCACTGAGGAACCAGTGTGGGGCAAGGTGGCATGGCCCTCCTTGCCCAGGGAGCTCACAGGCCAACAAGGCAGCATCGCCATCATTTAGGCAGTACACCTGGTATTTCTCTTGAATCGATTCTTTGAAAAATAAACTTTTAACTGGCCATTACGCTTTAAATCTCAGATTTTTCAGAGTAACGAGGGGAAGAACTCAAGTAGCTCAACTATTGACTTTAAAATGTGAGGGAAAGCATGAAATACTAACAGATATATTTTGTTTCATGTCTCTGCAGAGCATCTCATTAGATCTAGTATCTTGGGCACCTATTACAGTGTCTTTCTCTGGCTGGGTCATTCTCATCCTGAACATAAATTGGCATATTTCTCTCTTTCTGCTTTTATGTTTTAAGAGCTGTATATTTATTTATTTTTATTTTTTTAAGTAAACTACCCACAACTTGGGGCTCGAACTCATGACCCCAAGATCAAGAGTTGCATGCTGTACCCAACGAAGCCAGCCAGGTGCCCCATCTATTCTTTCTGTTTTTTCTCTTTTAAAGAGAAAGAGTGAGAAATAACTTCCAGCAAAATGTAAGATATTCAAAAGTCTGGAGAGGTCTGGGTGACTCCATATCCATAAAACATCTTCAGATCTTATTTTTGCCAAATTTCTCACCAGAGCACTAATAAATATCCTAAATTAAATACTACTTCACACTTCCTCTCTTTTTCTCAGCTTTTACTTTGGCAGAGAACCTGTTCAGCAGGAAACTATCCCCATAGCAGATGGCAGGAAATAGCAGGTGGCAGATTGAATAACCAGCTTCTAAAAAACACTAGTATTAGCTGTATTCTTGACTCATATATGACACAAAATCCTTTCGCTCCAAGTTTTTGTCTTACCTTTTTTATTTAAGAAAACAGTTTGATTTTTGTACAGCCTAAAGATTGATGTGCTTCCTGGACAATTAAAAGACGGGAGCTTGCTTCCTCTGACATGATATGAAGTGTGAGGATGCGTCCCAATCAAAGCAGATAAACAAAAAAAGGAACCACGGAGCTCTTTAAACCCCTGCTCATGGCTCTGTCTCCTCTCTCCCTCAGTCTGTGTCAGGGATGCCCCCGGGACAAGAAGTGGCTCCAACCCCAGGTGTCACCAATGTGTGCAAACTTGAGTCACTGAGCAGCACTCAGCATCCCTTTTGAAGTTCCTTCTTTTGTATGGTAGTATTGACACATACACCTGGCTGCTTAGGCTTTTTAAAACCATGTCGGGAGCTACAGGAAGCAAGAGGAGAGGAAATGCAAAAACTGAAGAGCTAGAATGGAGCTTTGAAGGAGGCAGTGGGTTGGGAGTATGGATCCGGGACGACCTGGATGTTAAGTTTTGTTTTCCTTTCTGCTTTTTTGTTCTCTTTTGGTTCAGTGAAGAGTATCCCAATATCTCCTACATGCCGTAAGAAATATCAGTATAACCCAAAGCTGATTCCCCTCCAGAGTAGCTATGCCATTCCTTTCTTCATTTTTGCATCACCTGTTTTATTTTAAACTTCAGAAGTGTCAGCTTCAGCCTCATATCTCTCTTCTAATGAAATGATATTTATATAATGCCATGGTTAGTAGAACATTTTCACCAGATCATTTTTTACAAATCTCCTATTTTAAATTTTTTTAAGTTAATTTTTTGTGAGAGAGAGCACACGCACACACACACACATGAGCAGGGGAGGGGCAGAGAGAGAGAGAGAATCCCAAGCAAGCTCCATGCTGTCAGAACAGAGCCCAGTGTGGGGTTCAGTCCCATGAACTGTGATATCAGGACCTGAGCCGAAACTGAGAGCGGGACGCTTAAGCGACTGAGCCACCCAGGTGCCCCTAAATTTCCTATTTTAAAACAAGGTGTTGAATCAAGAGGCATTAAATAAGGAATACAATTTTTATAATACTTTTATTTGTTATTTATTATTATTCTACCTCCCCTTTCCCATTTCATACTTTATAGTTAACAAGTTTTGTCTTCAAGTTTTTATTGACCGTTGACTTTTATGACTTTTGGTCACACTGACTGCACATCTGTAAATATCTAAGGAAGGACCTACTTATGAGGGATGTATTTTGGCATTGATGTTTCAGAGTTAACAACCAGTTTTCTCTCTTCTTATGCTTTATTTAGATTTCGACACAGCCCCAATTGTTGGTACCTGAGAGACTGGACTATCCACACCTGGATTAGGCAGTGTTTAAAATACGGTGCACAAGACAAAGCCTTATATACTCTTGTAAATAAGGTGAGTGGTTTCCTGGTATTTGTACCTTCTTTTCCTCAGTTTAGATGATACACCTACTATATAGTACAGCAAAGAATAGGACAAGAAAAAGAAATAGCTTTTGATATTTATTTGCTCTCAGATATCCTTTTTAGAATGGAACTGAATAGAAATTATCAACAATTAAATATAAAAATTCCCATAGCCTGTGCTTCTCCACACCTAGTGACTTGGAAATGGACAGGTAAAAGCAAAAGGAAGTTGAGTCAAAAGAACTTGGCACTGATGGTCATTTCATTCTTGATCCCTAAGACGTGGATTTCTTGCCCAGTTCCCTTTGGTGATTTTTAGGGAAATAGACATGACCACTTTGCTGGAATATGATCTCCAGAATATTCAGCCTATCTTACACAATTTTTAAAAGACAAGTATTCCTAGGCTACTCAAAACATGTCTTTCTTCTAAATTCCCTGACTCCTCTCCTCGAGCCCCAGAGTCCCCTATGGTTAGGGTTTTTCTGAACATTACATTCCATCAAGGGTTGAGTCTTAACCTTTATAGTATGAATTGAAGTATAAAATAAGCAAAATATTTCAATGTTATTTTTGTGAGTCTCAAGGTATAACTCTAGTTTGACCATAAAAAGATTTTAACAGTATTTCTGTGAAAATATATTACCTCTTTAGTGTCACTGGGCTTGTATGTTAGAACTCAAAAGGGTATAAAAGTTTTGGTTTTGGTAGCTTTTGGTCCCATGACTTGGACCCAATGCAACTTAATGTGCATTGCAGACAGTTTGTATGTGAGACACTGGGTATGGCATTGTCTGTAAAAATGAGCAGTATCCTATCCTTGCCCTCAGGAAGCTTATCATTTAATAATGCAGATAAACAGGTTTGCTGATAAATCTGTTAGGCCCAGAGGAAGGAATGAATCAAATCCTATTCTTATCAGTTCAGAGTTTAATGACACAGATTATACTCACAGAAGGTGTCTGTGAAAACAAAACAAGAAGGGTATAGAAATGCAGAAAAGTTTATCTCATTTTCTGTTGCTCTAGTCTTTTCGTGGAAAGAACACTAGACAAGGAGTCAGAAGAGCCAGGCTGTAACCTCATAAGTTCCACCAAGTGCCCATAAGTTCAGGCACATAATTTTATCTGTCTAGGTCTTAGTGTTTTCAACTCGGAGTCAAGTGAATTGTACTAAACCGGTGATCTTCAACCCTGGCTGTCCATTAGAATCACACAAGACACTTTTAAAAATTAGAGATGCTTTTCACCACCCCCAAGATTCTAATCTAACTAATCTTTCTGGAGCACAGACTTTAACTTTTTTTTTTTCTTAATATCTTAAAATTTTTTTTAATAGACTTTATTTTTTAGAGCAGCTTTAGGTTCACAGCAAAATTGAGCAGAAGATACAGAGATTTCCTGTATGCTCCCTGCCCACACATGCACAGCTTCCCCCATTATCAACATCCCCTATCAGAGTGATCCATCTTTTACAATTGATGAAGCTGTATTGGCACATCATAATCACCCAGAGTCCACAGTTTACATTAGGGCTCACTCTTGGTATTGTACATTCTGTGGGTTGGGACAAATGTATAATGATATGTATATATTTATAGTGTCACGTAGTATCATATAGTTTCACTGCCCTTAAAATCCTTTGTGCGCTGCCTATTCATCCCTCATTGGTATCCATTTAAAGCTCCCAAGTTGATTCTCATTTGAAGCCAGGGTTGAGAATCACCGACCGATTGATATCTAAGGCTCCTTCTAGCTTTAATGATTTATCATTCTAAAATATTTTGGTTTTGCCATGCCCCCTAAGGACTAGTGCTGAATTGGATGACTGCTTTGAGAAATAGAGAAACTTCCCACGAGCTCCAGCCTTTAAAACAATGGCTTCTAAACCATTTTTTCATTTCAACATATCTGAGGCATCCCATACAGCCTACTGTAACAGTGACTCAATTCAGCAGTGATTCACAACTGGGGGGTTAGGACTATTAGACTCCCCTAGGGGGTGTGTATAATTTGAAAATTTTCCTCAGGTACTTCTGGTAGTTGGTGGAGGAAGAATGGGGCAGGGTGGAAGATGGTAATTAATCCTCCTCAAGCAAGAATTTAAAACAAATAAATATATAACCACAATCTAGATCATTAGTAATCACACTTGATTGTGCATGAAAATCACATAGAAAGCTCACTAAAACTTCTGGTTTCTTTGCCCTGTTCCCAGAGATTCTAATTCTGTAAGTCTGAGGCTTAGAAATCTGCATTGTTTAAAGCACTCCTAGAAAATTCTTAGGCAGATGCTAAAGGATCCACATTTTGGGAAATCTGGATTCTCGAATATTTTACTGCTCATGAACAGAAGTTCAGTTAGTAATATTTTGTTAGCATATTTCTAAGGTCTTTAAAAAACAGTCTAAGAGACAAGATATACCAAGTGCTGGTGTGGGTGTGGCAAAAAGAGAACCCTTATTTACTGTTGGTGGGAATGTGCACTGGGTGCAGCCACTATGGGAGATGGTGTGGAGATTCCTCAAGAAATTTAAAAAAGAACTACCATATGATCCAACAATCCCACTTCTGGGTATATACCCAAAGGAAATGAAAATAGGATCTCAGAGAGATACCTACTCCCCCATATTCATTGCAGCATTATTCACAATAGTCAACCATAGAAGTTGACTGTCCAATAGATGAACATAGAAGTTCATCTGTCCAATGACAGATGAATGGATAAAGAAAATGTGGTGTATATCTATGCAGTGGAATATTATTCAGCCATCAGAATGAAGGAGATCTTGCCATTTGTGACCACATGAACGAGCTTTAAGGTCATTATGCTAAGTGACATAAATCAGTCAGGGAAAGACAAATACCCTATGATCTCAGTTATATGTGGAATCAAAAAAGCCAAACTCATAGAAATAAAGTATAGAATGGTAGATTTTAGGGGCTGGGGGTCGGGGGAAATGAAGAGATGTTAGTCAAAGGGTACAAAGTTTAAGTTAAAAGGTAAGTAAGTTCTGAGGATCTAATGGACAGCATGGTGACTATAGTTAACAATAGTCAATGGTATCTCAAATTGCTAAGATCATAAATGTTATCATTACCACACATACACACAGGCACATGCGCACACACAGTGGTACTTATGTGAGATGATGGATGTGTTAACGAACCTTATTGTGGTAATCATAATCATTTTCAGTGTGTATATATATGTATGTATTATATCATCATGTTGTACACCTTAAACTTACGTGTTGCATGTCAGTTATAGCTCAATAAAGTTCGAGAAAAAAATAAAGACCAGAAAACCATGCTGCATTGTTTTAATGCTGCATAATGTGATAATGTGTACTTCCTCGTGAGAGTCCAGTTCTGCATTGATAATCATACCTTATAAAAAGAATCACAGAACCAGAGGCATATTGGGGTGGGGGAGGGTTGTTGTTTTGTTTTGTTTTGTTTTGTTTTGTTGTTGTTAGCTTTGATGAGGTGTTAGAATTGAGCTTTAATTTTCACATACCGTCTTATATCAGACACCCACTCACAACTTTCTTACCCTGACCAAGTTCCAATTACTAAACCTCATGAGTCACAGGTTTTATTTCACTGTCACAGATGCTGTAAAATGATAGTCAAATGTCTGAAAGCTAATGGTGGCAAGTTTTGTCATGAATAATGCATAGGCATATATTATAAACAATGAAAGTGAATATATTTCTCTTATTTTCCTTTTATTTTCATTGCCGTTACAGGTCCAATATGGAATTTTTCCAGATAACTTTACATTCAATTTACTGATGGATTCTTTCATAACAAAAGAAAATTACAAAGGTAAGAAACCAAACCCAGGTCCATTTATAATGGAGCTTCAGCTCTTAAAGGTAAGTAAATATAGGCAATTTCGTTTTCTAAATTTCAGAATGACATCTCTTTACATCACTCTTTCAGTCAGAAATAGATGCATAGTTGATTTACCATACTACTTGGCCAGATAGGACAATCATATCCAGGTTTTTTCCTCTGAGTTTGTCAGGTTTATTTGTTCATGTCTCTTTGTGCAAAGGACAATGAATTTAGTTAAGCAATAAACCTTGCCTGAGCTCCTGTGGCTGGTTAAGATTATAGTAATGCAGTTCTTAGCTTGACTCTTTTTAGTACCATTTGCTAATTTTAATTTAAATCACAGTTGTTATTCTTTGTGGAATGTAAGACTATAAAATCAGTTGTCTTCCTGGAAAGAGCAGTATACTTGCTATGAAGGAGAGTCATTTTACCTCCCCAAGCTTTTGTTTCCTCATCTGTAGAATAAGTGGATGAGTAATCTCTGAGATCTCTTTACCCACAAAATTCTCTAATCCTGTGCAATTAATTCAAAGTGACTCAACTTCCACTGCACTAAGGGAGTCCGAGGAAAGATGGGGATTGCAACAGACTACAGAGGAGTCAGATGGACCCCGGCTACTCTCCATGGGACAGGGAATCCTATTACGGCATGCTTGTGTTTGTGGCTGTGCTGACAGTGAAGAAGGAAAGAGGAATCTTGCCACTGTGTAAAGACACACACTGGCTTTCCCCTTCTACCATTTAATCCTCAGGGTTGGTACTGAGAAGCCACAAGGGAGCCAGGCCTGTGTTTGGGGAGTTACTACCTCAGGAACGTGGTTATGCCCTGGCGGGCAGTTTTATCCTGTGATTCCTGCCATTGGGTTCCATCCCCTCATTCCTGCACACCAGCACCGATGACCTTTCCTGCTGCTCAGGCGGGGGACTGGACCTTTCTGCCCTGAGTGTGGACACCTCTCTCCTTTCTCTTTGGATCTCTGCTTTATCTTCTCCCTCAAAAGGCTTGCAGTTGTTGACTGCCAAAGATTATTTGCTATATGTTATTTTTTGAAATATCAATTATCCCTTCTTGTCTATTTCTCACTCAGTGTTAAACCTACATTTCCTGAATTCAAATGGAAGGTAATTAGCTTTTCCCTGTTTCTTAATCTATGCTCCATGAACATCACATTTAATAGTATATCATTGGAAAATTATTAGAAGCAGTTTTCTGCCTGCACTCTTTCTTTAAAAGGTATGTTAGAGGGGTCAAAGGACTTTTTTTGCCCTAAATGTAGAGTAAATAATATTGAAGATTTCTAAAAATAAGGTTTTAATGAAGATTATTGTCATTTATGGCAAAGATTTAGAAGCTATTATACTTTTGGGGCACCTGGGTGGCTTAGTTGGTTGAGTATCCAACTCTTGATTTCAACTCAGGCCATGATCGCAGGCAGGGTCATGGGATGGAGCCCTGCATTGGGCTCCACAGTGATCATGGAGCCTGCTTAAGATTTTTCTGTCTCTCTCCCTCTGCCCCTCTCCCCTGCTCATTCTCTGTCTCTCAAATAATAGTAAAAAAAGAAAGTATTATAGTTTTTATTGTTAATAGGATAGGCAATATCAAAGTACATAAATGATTTTGGAGGAAAAGTTAGCTAATTATATAAGCCAGTCTAATTTCACTTCCCAAGCTGAATGAGCTGCAGAATATAAATAAAAGATAAAGTAAGTTTGATTTATTTTTCTTGTGTAATTTTGGATTCAGTAATGAACAATTGAAAGAACAGATTTTTTTTTTTAAAGTGGAGTTTTAGCTTAAAATTGTGTTCTTTTAAAATATTGGTTTGTTTGGAGTTTTTGTTTGTTTGTTTTAAATCCGTTCCAGGTCCTTATTTGCTACTGACTTAGTAGATGACTTCTTGGTCTGTCTATCTCCATTTCCCCCTTTGCAAAAAGAATATAGAAGTTCTTGCCTATGGCCTCATTAGGAACCATAACAACATGTACAAAACCAGCTGGATAGGAACAGCTGCAAGTCAGTGCTAACTCTTATAATTATGATTATATGTAAAAATTGGTTAACACAGCAACTTACTTAGTCAAAAACATGTGTTGTGCCTATGTTATGTGCTGGCACCATATTTTAAACCAATATTAGCATTCTCTAATTTAACAACAAATATTAAGGAAAAGAAATTGTCTGAACTTGATTTTCTTGGCTTCCATCTATGTTGTAGAATCTTAAAGGAAAATAAAAATTGCTCAAGGTCTGAACTTCTACGATCAGCATTCATGTGGAAACAAATATATTGTGTGTTATAGTCAGGGCCTTATAGTTTATGAATGAGCATTTTTCTTTCCAGTGTTTCAAGTCTTTTTAAACTGAGCCTTGGGGCGCCTGGGTGGCGCAGTCGGTTAAGCGTCCGACTTCAGCCAGGTCACGATCTCACGGTCCATGAGTTCGAGCCCCGTGTCGGGCTCTGGGCTGATGGTTTGGAGCCTGGAGCCTGTTTCCGATTCTGTGTCTCCCTCTCTCTCTGCCCCTCCCCCGTTCATGCTCTGTGTCTCTCTGTCCCAAAAATAAATAAAAACGTTGAAAAAAAAAAATTAAAAAAAAAAAAAAACTGAGCCTGATTATCCTTTTTATAGCCATCAGTTTTCTGTCTCTAAAACAATACGTGGGATTTAGGATCCTCTCTAGCATTTGTCTTCTTTTGCCCCAACAGGGAGAAGGTTCTGGAACACAGAATGGGGCAGTCAACCCAGCTTCTGCTCTGTTTGTCAGAGTGACCTGGAAAATATATTTGCCTCCTTTCTGTATGCCTTAGCTCCTCCAGCTGATGGACATGATACCTTAAATTTGCTTCACAATTTATGAGGCATTTTTTATATGTACTATCTTGATGGACTGTCCAACAGTCTTTTCAAGTAGATGGGACAAATGGTAATCATTATGAAGATGATACTGGAAAGATTTAAGAGAAATTAAGATTATTCAATGTTCTTGAAAAGATTGGTGCAAAAGCACCTGACTTAGTACATAATAATAAGCACAAGAGAAGCTAAAGACTTTGGAAAGATCTGGTTTGTGGAAGAGCTAGAATCAGAGCTCACATTTTTTGCTTCTTAATTCTGTTTGTTTTTCTATCATGCCCTACTTTAAAAAAAAAGTTTTATTTATTTTTGAGAGAGAGAGAGAGAGAAAAGAGGCAGAGAGAGAATCCCAAGCAGGCTCGGCACACTGTCAGTGCAGAGCCTGATGTGGGGCTCAAACCCATGAACCGTGAGATCATGACCTGAGCCAAAATCTAGAGTCCAGACACTTAACTGACTGAGCCACCCAGGCACCCCTCTCATGCCCCACTTTTTAAGACTGTTTATAGTTAAATACAGATTTGGAGATGTTACCTGAAACTAATTTCCTCTCTTTACTTGGTCTTCTTGCCAGATGCTTTATCCGTGGTTTTCGAGATCATGCTGCAAGAAGCCTTTGAAGTGCCTTCTACTCAGCTTCTGTCCCTCTATGTTTTATACCATTGCCTGGCCAAGAAGACAGACTTCAGTGTAAGTGATGGACCGTAAAGTAGTACTGAGAGCCTTAGAAGCATGCAGTGACTCTTTAGTAGGGATGAGTTTCCTGGAGAAAACCCTTGCCACCAGAATCTGAAAGAAGCCATCTGATACACAGCTCTGAGACCCCAAACAACCAGGAATGAGTGTTCCTTCTGTACATTTTAGTGACTGGCTTTTGACGGCGTGGAACTGGATGTCCCTTCACTTGAAAGAATCTCAAGCGAAAGTCCTTAGGCGCATTTTGAAACTTGAGCTAAGCTGAATGCACCTCAGACATTCAGAACTGGATAACTGATTCTCACTGACAGTGGGACTTGCATATCAGAGAAGCAATGAGGCAGCTAACTGACCACAGCTTGGGTGTGTTCACTTCACGTCAGTGTTTTCCTAAGGTTGCTCTTGGTCAGTCCAGAAGACCAAGTTTCATTTTCCTTTCTTAGATAAGGCTATTTAATCATTGTTTCTTGTTATCCTAAGAATAACAACAGTAACAACAGTAACCAATATTTAAATAGTACCCACTTTACACCAAGCTCTGTTCTTGGTGTTTTAAATTTATTAATGCATATAATCCTCACAACTCTATGCAGATGAGCAGACTGGAGCGCAGTGATGTTACATAATAGCCACCTGGCTAGTAGGTGCTGAAGCCACCTGGAGAAGCCAGGCGGTCTGGCCCTACAGTCTACCCTCAACTTCCAATGTAACATCAGAAAATCCTAGTTTGGGTAGGAACTGAAAAGGCCATCGAATCCAGCTCACATTCATTAGTTCGTTAAATTTATATTGAGCAACTGCTGCCTTCCATATATTGCCAAGCACTGGTTGTACAGTGGTAAACAAACATTTCCTGCTTCCAATCAAAGAATACAGGCATTCAAGGCAAAACAAACCAAATAGATGCATTTAAAATTATAGCTGCAATGGGTCCACAAAGACCTCTTGTATGAAAAGTGTCTGTATTGGGGAGTTTTTGTTTGTATCCTAAACTTAGGTTAGGAATGGCTTCCTTCAGGAAATATTTCTGGAGTTAATACTTGAAAGATGAATAGGAATTAACTGGTTGAAGAGAGGAAGAACAGTCCAAAAAGAGGAAATAACACATGCAAAAGCCCTGTGGCAGAAAAAACATGGCAAGCAGAAAGGGGCTGGAAAAAGATAGGAAGACAGTCAATGTAATTGCAACAGAGAGCATGGTAAGAAGGGCATGGGGTGAGGTAAGGTTGGAGAATGTAATTCATGCTAAGCTGTATTATGTACATCCTAAAAATAGAGGCATTTGAAAAGTTTTAAGAAGAAGGGGTAACATGATCCAATTTGAATTTTGAAGAGATACATCGGCTATAATGTGGTTAGGAGATTAGATCAACAATGGTTGTCTCAGTAGGCAGTAATGGTCAGGTGGGGACCAGAATGTATGGACTTAAGAGTAGCCAATGAACATATTTGGGAGGCAGATAACATATGGTGGAGAACTATATGTGGAAGCAGGAACATACTGGTGAAATCATCTCCTCAGTTTTTGACTTGTGTATCTGGATGGAAAGGTTGTCATGTGTTTGCAAGGGGAACCCTGGAAAAAGACTGAATTTATTTGGCTATGAACATATTGCAGTTTGAGATGCCTTTGAGACAACCAAGAGATTTCATGAGGGAAATTGAGATCTTCATGGAAACATTTGGACTGGGGACATAATTTATATACATAGGTATAAATTTCTGCAGGTGAAGCACAGAGGAAAATGGGCAATCAGGATTGTATTAGGTCACAAAAACCACAGGAAAAGAGCGGTTTATAGTTTAGAATGCTTCCGAGAGGGTAGGTCAGATGAGGACTTTTAAAACATTCATTGAATTTAGTGGCCTAAAGACACTCAATTGTAACCTGTGTTTCCATAGAATAATGGAGCAGGAAAGGAAATTAGAGTGGATTGTGGAGTAAGTTCAAGGGGCAGAAAGGAGACAGCTAGCGTAGGTGGTGCTTTGAGATACCTAGCAGTGGAGGGGAGTGGAGAGGAGAGAGGGAGAATGAGATTTGCTTTGTATTAATGGGAAGCACCAAGTAGGAAAACCTTGAGGACCCTGGTACGATAGCACCTGACTTCATCCTTGATTGTACATACAGCAGAAGCTACAGGTTTGGAAGAGATCTGATCTCATACATTAACACATAAATAGCTTCTCATATAAGCAGTGGTGGTTGTATTATTTTCAGGGAATCATCCCCAAAAAATCTGTAAGACTTTCGTTTGTTGGTTTTCATCCATCTAAAAGTGCCTTCAGAAGTGTCCCTGTTCCAGCTGCCATCACCACCCCTGCTCAATTCCCGGAGCAGCAAGGATACCGTTCTTTTGGCTTTTCACCGCTATCACATTTAGATACTACAGATCATGATTTTCCCTAAAGAAAAGAAAAAAAAATTTAAGGCTCCTTATTTATTATTCACTGCGTACCTTTTCATGCAGCTTTTGTGGGGGGAAATCAAACCTTAGGGTGATTTGCTTTTGAAAGTGAAATGCCCTGGTCTTCAAATTACCAGCTTTTACTTATCTGTGCTGCACAAGTGCCTGAGGAGGCTTTGTTTTTCCTCCCAAGATTTTTGCTTTTTTCAAAGGTTGAGAAAAACCGTAAGAAATTACGCTTGTAGTATACAAAGGCCATTCCCAGGAAAGAGGCTTGGGTGCCCATTAACACCCAGGGTGCCTCGCTTATACCTGGCTACAATTGTAGCCTGTACGCCTCATTCGTTCTCTGCTTCCTTCCTGACCTCTGACTGCAAAGACCAGCGCAGGGCACCCTGAGCTTTGTGTTGTTTGTTTTCAAGCCAGGACAAGGGCCCTGGCTGACGTGCACCCATATGGCACCAGGAAGATCACAGCTCTCATTGTCTGGATGGTTGCCAAGGCTGTCCTCTGAGCCCAGAGTCTATGCGAGCCCTCTTCACTATTCTTGCTGCCCTGTAGCAGGCTCAGCAATGCTTGTATTTTTGCCCCTTCCCGCCCCATGTCTCAAAAAGCTCCAATTTTAATGAAGTGTAATTTTGCACCCTGAGTTGAAAGAAATGATCACTAAGTGTTTCTGATTGTCCAATTTATTTTTAAGAGGCACAAATCTATCTAAAAGCAACCTAATAGTTGTATTTATTTTTACACTGTGAAGTAGAAGGGGTCTTATCATTGCTGAATTGTTTAAAATTCAAAAGCTGGCCCCAGCATGCTATAGCAACGTGAATGAATATTGGGCTGACAGCATGTGTAATCTTTACTGATTGTCTCAAGGCATTGTTGGTCCAGAGTGTACTCTTTATTTTTGTTTTGTTTTGCTTTTCTGATTGCAAAAGGAACTCTTATTCATTGCCAGAAATGTGGAAGATAATGAAAGTATAAAGCAAAAAACCAAAACTGCTCATAATTTCATTACCCAGAAATCTGTAAACAGAGGGTATTTCTTTTCTATGTTATTCATTAAACATAAATATCTTCTCTTTATAAAATTAGGATCATAGTGAAACTATAGCTTTGTTATTTTGTTATTTTTTTTGTTTTTTGGTTTTTTTACTTAATGCTATAACATGTCCCCCCCCCCCCCATTAAAAATCATTAAAAATCAAATTTGTTGCTTGGCTGGACCATGATCTGGTTTATTCTGTTGCAGTGGGAAGAGGAGAGGAATTTTGGTGCATCGCTATTACTCCCAGGCCTAAAGCAAAAGAACTCAGTGGGGTTGAGTTCCCAGTTGTATGGCTATGCACTTCTTGGTAAGCTAAGTGATCTTTACAAATATTGTTCTTCGTGGATAGAACGGATGCAGTCTTCTACTTTGTAATAAATTTTTATTTTGATTTCAGTGTGCTAATGATTTTATTCATACAGCTTTATTCATACGATATCATGTATGATTGTATTCATATGCTACAGCTTTCATTTTTATACATAAAAATAGACCTTGGTAGCTTTACACTTAGGGACTTATGCCTTAAGAGGCAGTAAAGAGGCTTCTAAAACCTGTTACCACTGGTAAGGTGAAAACTAGTTCTGGTGGCTTTGGATCATATTTTGTGGTAATCAATGTGAGGAAGGGATAAAGAATGGAAAGTTCTGGCCTTCTCTTGGGAAAACCAGCCAGCTAGTAAAATGTTTCCCAGTATTAACAAAGATCTTTCTGTCTCTTTTAGACCTGAAGTCCAGGAGGTAAGAAATCAAGACTTAGGGTTGAACTCGCATCCTTGGTATCGTTTTCAGGTGAGGGAAGGGAAGCTCAGACAGCATGTCTAGTAACACTTAGAGAAAGCAGAGAGGTTCATTTGGCACAGTGTGACTAGGCCAAGCAGGGGATTGGTTGCTTTACTTTCATTCCCTGACTGAATTGAAAGACAGGTCAGGAGATTGAAGCCTCAGAACCTGAGTTGTATGAAATCAGGGCAGTTAACATCCAACCTAAGTGTGCATAAAATGTGTCCTGATTTACAGAGTTTCTTAAATGCATATTATTTTATTGTTCTTCCATTCTTTGTCTTAAGTAGACAGGCATTTCAGAAGGTACCTTCTCTTGACCATGCACTGCTTTGACTTACCTTTGTTTTATGAAAATCATCAAAGTTTTAGCAGTTTTGAAATTGATCTTCACCAACAAAATGTAGTGTGGCACTCTCGGGTGCTGATTCTAATATAGACTGATGTAGGGAGAGGAATTTAGAGTTTATCAATTGGCTATCAGACTAGCAAAAGAAATTGACCACTCTTTTTTAAAAATTGTTTTCTCGGAGCACCTGGGTGGCGCACTCGGTTAAGTGTCTGACTTCAGCTCAGGTTATGATCTTGCAGTTTTCAAGTTCAAGCCCTGCGTCAGGCTCTGCTGACAGCTTGGAGCCTGGAGCCTGCTCTGGATTCTGTGTCTCCCTCTCTTTCTGCTCCTCCCCCACTCACACTGTCTCTTTCTCAAAAATAAATAAACGTTAGAAAAATTTTAGGGGCCCCTGGGTGGCTCATTTGGTTAAGCATCCAACTTAGGCTCAGGTCATGATCTCATGGTTCATGGGTTTGAGCCCCACGTGGGCTCTGTGCTGGCAGCTTAGAGCCTGGAGCCTGCTTCAGATTCTGTGTCTCCCTCTCTCTCTGCCTTTCCCCTGCTCGTGCTCTGTCTCTGTCTCTGTCTCTCAAAAATAAATAAACATTAAAAAAAATTTTTTTTTATTTTTTTAAATAAAAAATAAAATCGTTTTCTCCTTATATGCCATCTCCTTTTGCTGTTGGCTTATGCGTTTTGCCTTTGCCTTCAGGTGATCATTCGGAACTGTTATACTATGTGAATTATTCAGAGAGCTGTCAGGACTAAGAAAATGTATGTGGTCACCACTGTCTCTGCAGAGGCCCTGGTGCTTCGGGACTGGTGGCTGTCAGATGAAAAAGCCCTTTGCTCTCACTGCGTCATGTGCTGCACGGCCTCACCCGGCCCCAGTGGAAGCAGCTTTCCCAGAATGTGACTGCAGTCCAGCCCCAAGTATCTTAAAGTCTAAAATTAGCTGTCACCTGATAAGCTTTGTCTATTTCTGCCCTACTATAGCCCTCCCAATCCTCCTTCCCAGGAACGATAAGTTAAGGTGGCTTTAAGACCTGGCAGCTCAAGGTGACTTTGGCCATCCGTGCAGAGAGGGCTTCTATTCCCCAGGAACACAGAGACAGCCCCTCGCCCCACCTGAGGCCCCTGGTGTCTGGTGTCCACGTCTGGAGCTCCACTTGTGACGGTTTGAGGAATCAAGAAAAACATTCATGTCCCAAGATCAAGAAGGATGATGCAGACTTTATGGCTTAAGTACCGATGAAGCTCAAATAAAGGACAGTCGATGGGATGTTTTGGAGCGTTTTGAAAAATGTCAAACATTTGCTGGCAGGGAAAGTTGTCATATGTTGACGAGATTTTCACTGTAGGAGAATTGTGGGAATTCTTTTTCTGAGGAAGATTTTGTTCTTGAAACAAAAATAGTATTTCAGTTGTTTGACTCGTTTTATAAGGGTAGTTCCACTTAAAGAGACAGATATATCAACCTCTCTAAACTTCCCTCAGCCCTGTGATTCATACATCCTCATGATAATTTCCACCAGCCCAAGTACAAAAGAAAAAAAGCAAATTTGTACAGTTTCGTATTTAAAAAATGGATTTGGTGAATTTACCATATTCTTCATCATCCATCTGGAATGGCACCAGGTCACTCGCCAGGATGAAGCTCTTGGTACATATTTGAAATGATTCTTGATTTCTAGAGCTGCCAGGTGCATATTCACTTTGCTTTCAAGTCCTCAGCCTCAAACATAGTGGGAAGCCATGCCTGAGCCATCTTCATTGTTCTTTTTGGCCACAGGGAAGGTGGAGTTGCAGCGAGGACTCCGGGCTGTGTACCATAACATGCCTCTGCTGTGGCAACCCGGCTACCTCAACAGAGCCCTTCAAGTGATGGAGAAGGTGGCCTCGTCCCCGGAGGACGGGAAGCTGTGTGCAGAAGCGGTACGTCCTTCGGCTCTAATTCAGTGTGCTTTAGCCGTCTCCTGTTCCCTGTGAGCCAGGCTGTGAATCTGTTTTCATTTTCTTCCCCTCCCCCTCCTTTCTGTACTTCTGTAGAATCATGTACTTCTCCAGTGGAAAGGGAATGAAAAACGGCACACATTCTCAATGTTCCTGACCAGAAGTATTAGAGAATAAGAGTAGTGTTGACTCTCTAGCTCAGTGTGTGGAGGAAAACTATCCCTGTCTCCTGAAATTTAAACTGAGTTCAGTAAAACACTGCCCACAATACCACCCTCTCCCCCAGTAAAACTCAGTGGCAGCTCAAGAGAGGTTAATATTTCATCTTATTTTTCGGCCTTTCTGTACCCTTGTAGCCCCGGGAGACTGCATGGCAATTATTATCCCCCATAAAAGCCCTCAAGAGAGGAATCTGGGGGCTAGAGATGGCACAGTCTTGTTTTGCTTCTATGAAACGATTCTGTGGTGAATGCACGGTGCTGGAGGATGTGGGTCGGACGTTCCCTGCAGAGTCCTCAGGGGCTCCCTCTACCTGGACTGGGCCACTGTCTCCCTATGGCCCCAGCGCATCTCTCAGTCACCTAGGGCTCTTGACACTGGAACCACCAGACTTAGCCCACAGGAAACGTATTATCTCAGAGCCACATGAAAGCCTCCTGCCCCACAGACAGCCAGTGTCCGCTCCTGTCCAAGCCGTTTACATCTTCAGAGGGAGGCCTAGATGGACGTTGGTTGTTGCATTACCAGGATGTAAAAGTTAACTTTGAGCTCATTCTTTGTTTTCCCTTGATTCCAGTCACTTGGGCTCACTCCTTGGCTTCATTTTCATCATGAAGATATGCAAGTCTGGTGCCTGTATTGACCAGATACTGATGTCTAGTGAATCATCATGTTCTTTGGTAGATATTTGTAACAGAACATCCACATTCCTAAATACATACTCATATTTAACCTTGTTGTAGTCAGTTCTGGTGGTAAAAAACACAGTATTATACATAAATCCTTTGCCAGGGAAATTAGTCCTTCCAACCTAAGCCAGATTTGTATTCTTTGTGATCTGTCCTAATAAGAATATGATTCGGATGTCAGCAAGAATGGAATATGTGTTAGGTGTGGGTATAATGTAGTAATGGCATTAAAAGACTTGGAGTATTTCCTAGATTTTTGTTCTAATGTGACATGGTAGGATTAATTGGTATCTAAGCAGGTGCAAATGCTGACCTTGAGGTTGTAGAATGATTAGGCCCTCGGTGGGTCAAGGGAAGGTGTGCCCCAAAGTGAATGTGGTGGGCGACAGGCCAAAAGAAAAAGGAACCCTCTGTTTTATAATTTATTTACTTTCTAAGTCACAGAGATCACCTCGTTGTGGATTTCACGTATGCCTGTCAAGTCTCTGTCAGTAGCTTATGAGGGTTGTGCAGCTCCCTAATTTACAGAAACCTCGCGAGCCACAGTCTTTCTGTGAAGGAAGTGCTTGGCCTGGATTCAGAGTCTCTCTTGCGCACATTCACAATGGTCCTCTGTTGGTTGCGCTCTGTGGCAGTTTTTCTCTCCTTCTCCCACTTCCAAACTGGTTGGGGAAGAACGACCTGGAAAAGGGATTACTTTGAGTACCCATTGAACATAATTTTTGGATTCCTGCCCAGTTGACTAAAGGTGAAATCAAATGCCATTGTGCTGACTCATATACAAAGAATTCTGAGCTTGCTGATCTGTACCATTTGTTTTGTACTAAGTTGTCCATGCCATCTGACAGGGTGTTTCTCATGTAAAATCATATAACCGTGTCTCTTTCCTATAATTTTATAAGAGAAAGAGTTCACTAGTCTTCAGATCCCAGCTGTTCCTTCCTATCCCTTCCCTACCCTCTCTTAACAGCGTGTTTTCAGGGTGCTTCACAGGATGCTTAGTCCCTGCCCCTTTGTCCTCTCCACAGCTGGATGTGCTAGACAGAACGCTGAAGGCTGTGACTGCTCCAGCCTGTGGGTCTTCAGAGGCACAGCCCCAAGAAGAAGACGGCCAGGGCTCAGAAGAACTGGTGGAGCAGTTGGACGTGGAGGAAACTGAACAGTCCAAGCTTCCCCAATACCTGGAACGATTTAAGGTGCGTCGTAGCAGAATTGAGCCCCTCTGAGCTGTGCATTATGCGTGCTTCTTTTCTGTCGTGATAGGCAGCCCTTTCATGCATCAGTGTCCCACACAAACGCATGAAAACTGACATCAAAAATCATGCTTCAAACAGGAAGTGGTCTTAAAAGTAATAAATGGAATTTTTATGCTCCTTTTTGTACGTGAGCTAATCAGTCACAGTTTTGTCACTGGGGCAGCATGTCATTACCCACTCATCCCTGACATGTGCCTGATGCATGGGTAATAGCTTGCCGCCTCAGAGCAGTCACCTGACTCCATCCCCAGCTGGAAAGGATCTGGTCTTTTCTCTATATTGCGCTAATGTGCTCGATAACCCAAAAACCAAAGTAGAAATAAAAAGTCCAATTTGAGTACGATGGAGATCAGATGCCGGTGTCTTCTGTTGCTTGGCTTTGAGTTGTGCACTCAGGCCCTGAGAAGACTTACTTGGACTGCATGGAAGAGGTGAACAAGTTTCCACCGTGTCTTTTCAGAACAGATCTGAGCGCTCAAGCTGCCATTGGTACATTTCAACTGTATGTCCCGAAATCCTCTGTGATCAGAGTCAGGGAAGAAGAGCTATGTTCAGAGGTTAACCCCTTGGCCTCTTCCTTGCTTTGTTTTTAATATATTTAGTGCAAAGAGAAAAATATGCTGTCTAAAGGAGAATTCTTTGCATGAAACAGAAAACCTTCCCATCCATGCCAGCTGAACTGTTGTGTCATTTTGAGACAGATAGGTGTCATTTTGCCTGATTATTACACTTAGATCTGTTCAGTAATTATATTGAACCAGCTATGGGATACCTATTTCCCTGTGTTATAGGGAGGACTCCACTGTACTTGCAGTAGCTGTTTCTCCTGGTACTTCTGTAAAGTCATCGTTCAGTGTCCCTCTTTTATAATTTGAAAACTAAGAAAGAAAGGTTAATATTAGGTACACAGAGAATTGGCAGCTAAGTTACAAATTTACATACCTGTTCGTTTCTCTTAACTTTGCAGATTTAAAAAGGCTGAAGAACAAACAAAAAATCATCCATAGTTTAGCCTCATAGTTTATCATCTACCATATTCATATTGACCAAGGCTGCCACAACACTCCTCAAGATGACCACCTCTTTCTCTTGTTTCTTACATTTAATCTCAAGAGAGTAGAAATCTGTGCTGCATTAAATTCTTAGTCCTCATTCTTCAACAGATGCATTTTTTTGAAAAGCAAAACAAAAAGAGACAAATATTTATTGGCTGCTAGCCGTGTATTAGGCACCAGTGCGTTTCATTTATCTTCCCTATGGCTCTGAGGGTCGGTGCTGCTTTTCCTACGTTACATGACACCAGGCTGAGAGAAACTTGCCCATAAGTGACTGATGGGGGATTTGAACAGAAGTTTGCTGGCTCAGATTTGAGTTGTCATTCTGGTGTCCCAAGGTGTCTCCTTGGCCTCAAACCACATGGAAAGTGATACCAGAATGAAATAATTTTCATTGTACATTTCCTTTTCTTCCTGTTGCCTGATTTTTATAGTCTCAGGTAATTCGGGGTCCATTTTTATAGGCTTGACCCATCACACTAGGCCTGTAGCCACGGCTTGACACATGGATTCTGCCCACCTTCCTCCCCTTATTGGAGCAGGCCTCATCACCTAAGCCAGTGAATGGCATTTGTTTTTGGAGCATGGGGAGGTGTGGTTTAAGCTAGAGCTGGGGCCATTAGTGACTCTCTCTTGATGATCTACATCTTGAAGCACTTAAGTGTATTAGTGTTTTTAGTACTTCACTTCTCCAGGAATATAATACCGACCAAACCAAGATGCCATTTCAGATGGAGCTGTGAGCAGTCAGTTTGTAAAGGTTGACCTGCAATGGAACACAGCAGGTGGAAGCTTATAACAGTGCAAAGACTCCTGGGAGCTGTTTAGCATGCCATTAGTAA